GTGCCTCATCAGCATGACCCACCTCTGGTTCTGGCTCTTTCACCATCTCACTACCTAGGTCCTTTCTCCGCTGCCATCTCCCACACTGGGCCGCCATATGGTCATATGCACCACATAACCTACACGTCTTCTGCTGCCCAGCGTAGTACACCATTACCTGTGTCCTAAATGCGTCCAGTATGACGTAAGACGGGATGGCATGCCTCAACTCCATCTTGATCGTGAACGTACCATCCGGCAAACCGGCATACGCCCCATCCGTCCATTTACCAGCCATAGCCAGGTGTACAGGTCCATACTGTTCAAATACATACCGCAGATCATTCTCGTCCGCCTCAAATGGCACATTTCGGATTTTCACCATGTGTAATGCTTAGACACGTCGATTAGGCGAACACGTATCGCTGAATTAACATCCACGCTCCTGTTCTGGTACTTGTCAACCAGCCGTTCATACACTCCAGCTGAACTCAGCTTGACGAAAATACGATAGGCACCATTTAGTGCCACACCATACAGTTCTTGATCCGCAACACCATAGGTGTCACGGATAATTTGCGGTAAAAGCACTTGTGCAGACTGAGGCGTTATTGCACCACGCAATAATTCAATGCACACCGTGTGCAAACGCCTTCTCACAGACTGCGCCATGTTGTGAAAATATGTCCATTTAGCTCTATTAGGGAGGATTGTGTTAAGCAACCTTGTTTCAAAAAAATCCATGTATAGGTTACTAAGAACTGGTGAAAGAGGATTTCCCATTGCCATACCAAACTTCTGAGTGTAAAACTTATGATTAAATACAAATTTTGCATCAACAATGTAAAGTTTAATAAGTTTAATGATAGTAGGAACTGGCAATGGTAAATCATAGTTAACGAGTTCTTCAGATAAGAAACTTAATAAATCATCAACAGGAACTTTCGTAAACAAGGAAGTAACATCAAAACTAACCATGTTAAAATCATTTAAGTCAGTCAAGGAGCTTAATTTATCAACCAAGTCTATCTTGTTTTTCACATTAAAGTTAGAAATTTTGCCAACAATAGGGCTCAAAATATCAACAAGCCATTTGGATAATTTATATGAAACTTACCCTATGGAGCTAATAATTGGTCTGACTGGATTCCCTGGTTTGTGTGTTTTTATTAGTCCATACATGTAAGGTATGAAAGCGCTTGGAATTTCTCTATTCTTTCAGAGTGGTTGTTTTGCATATTCTGAAATCACCTGTTTACTGTGATCTTATTGCATATATATATATATATATATATAAAATAATATATATATATATATATATATATTTTATATATAATATATATATATATATATATATAATATATATATATATACATACGAATAGGCTACGTACTTCCACACCGAGGAATTAGAGCCTATTTTCCTGCTTTCTTGTGTTAGACCAGCGTCTGCTGAAAGTTGGGTGCGATAGATAAACTATAGACAAGGGGTGCGCAAGTTCTTTGAATATTCAAGAACCACAGAAAGTATTATTTTAAAATTGTATTTATAAATAATAAAAAATACAATTAAATAGTAGTCCTACTCACCAAAGCAGAGTTTGTTTAATCTGTGTTCGCTGAAGGCTTTGGTTGAGTCTGCATTTTTGTAATTAATAGTTTAAATCTGGCTGGTAGGATGAAGTTTAGTGAGGTGACTGTTAGTGAGGATAGCACGATATTTTGACTTGATAAATTTCACTACAGAGAAGAGAGATTCTCAGTATTATATTGTCCCAAAAACAGAGAGTAGTCGGAAGCCAGTTTTCTGAAGACTTGAATACTTTACTTCTGGGATTTGTTTTCAGAAGTTACTTAGAGATAAGCTCTTATGTATTTGCTTCAAAGGCACATCTTCCTGCAGTTCAATAAGCTCTGTTTCTAGTGAAGCAACATCTCAGGCAAAAGGTGCAACAACAGGACATCCATTGTTGATGACATCAATTACTAAAGGATTCACAAGAAATTCAAAACATGGTTTTAACTTTTTTCTAGTTTCTCAAACCTATTCTCAAAATCATTATAAAGTGTTTCTAAGCTTCGTTCGCATTGTTTCAATTTGCTATCTCTAATTTCAACATCCGGAAATGCAGTTATTCTTAATTTAAGGTTGGGAAAGTGGTCAAATTTCTTTGCTGTTAGATCTCTTTGAAAAAGCTTTATTTTATTCTGAAAAATGGAAACTGATTGGGCAAGTTGTGTAATAACTTTGTTCCTTCTTTGAAGTGCCAGATTTAAATATTTGAGGTGTTGCATTACATCTGTAAAGAACATCAGATCCTGTACCCATTCGTGATCTTCTAGTTGCGGGTATTTCTTTTTCTTTTCTTTCATGAGAGCAATGATTGGTTCAAAAAGAACAACAAATTTATTGAAGAGACTGGTAGTCTGTAGCCCTCTTACAATACAGTACAATGAAAGGTCACTTGGCTTTTCTTCAAGCTTCAGCTCCTCCATAAAATTTCTAAATTCACGGTGTTTTTTCACTTGTCCGAATGAACACTTTCTAAAACTCGATTTATGACACTTTTGAACTTGAAGTGTTTGCTTACTAAATGCTCAAGGTGGATGATACAATGGATAGAGACATTCAGGATAGTTGAAATTGTGTCAGTTGCCCAACTAGGTCAGTATTTTGACCTACCATAGCTGGTAATGGTAGTTGAGTATTTAATAAAGGTTTGTTAAATTCAGTTTTGATGTCAATACCTTCTATGGTTTCCTTAAGTTTATTAGGTCTAAGAATTCCTCTTTTATATTTCCATCATTTGTAATAGCGAACAAATCTATTTAGCTGAGGAATATCTTGAATATCTGTAGATTCATCCAATGCTAGGCTGAAAGCAACGTAGCTTTTCAGATCACTCTGCAGTGACAATACGATTGTAGAACTAATTTCAGAAATGTCTCTCAGTAGTGCGGCGGGAGATAGGAATTTGCTCTGTTGCCTGTTTAGCTTTAAGTTCTCTGGCGCGAGAATTGCAATAACATCGCTAATATTCTTTTTTAAAAAATTTCCACGACTGTAAGGCAGTTTACCTCGAGCAGCATTCCAAGCTATAACAAAACTACCATCAGTAGCCAAATCACTTTGCTTACAGAGGAAAATTAGGCTATTTTGTTGAGTGACTAAATTAAATTTCAAAATTTTTATCTTATTTTTTCGCGGTTCTGATTCATGAGTAAATTCAGATGCAGATTTTTCATGGTTACATTCATGGTGACGCTTTAAATTACTGGCTTTACAGTGGCTGATGGTTGTACTCACCTAGTTGTACTCGCCTAGTTAAGGTTGCAGGGGTCGAGTCCTAGCTCCTGGCCCTGCCTCTTCACTGGTCGCTACTGGGTCACTCTCCCTGAACCTTGAGCTTTATCATACCTCTGCTTAAAGTTATGTATGGATCCCGCCTCTACTACATCGCTTCCCAAACTATTCCACTTCCTGACTACTCTGTGGCTGAAGAAATACTTCCTAACATCCCTGTGATTCATCTGTGTCTTCAACTTCCAACTGTGTCCCCTTGTTACTGTGTCCCATCTCTGGAACATCCTGTCTTTGTCCACCTTGTCAATTCCTCTCAGTATTTTGTATGTCGTAATCATGTCCCCCCTATCTCTCCTGTCCTCCAGTGTCGTCAGGTCGATTTCCCTTAACCTCTCCTCGTAGGACATACCCCCTAGCTCTGGGACTAGTCTTGTTGCAAACCTTTACACTTTGTATGACAGATAAGGTACAAAGCCTTTTCACCCTTAACAGTAAAAGCAAAATCGTCCTCTCATCGTTGGTTAAACACTCTCTTTTCTTGCTCGTATTTCCGTTTTATGCTCTTCTGTTGCTCGGTCATTTTAAACAAGGGTTTCTATAACTTTAAAATCAGTCTTAAGTATTTGTTAATACGCCACAAACGTATAACTTGTGTGTACTGGAGAGTCCAGTTGCATCATCCGCACTTGTTTAAAACATGACTCACGAAATCGAAATGACACGATTGCAAACAAACCATACCACGGGTGGGGTTTGAACCTGCGGGTCACAAAGCCCCACCCGTGGTATGGTTTTTTAAAACATGTTTTGATTATGTTCAGGGAGTTTAAGCAGCAGTTTGGACATATAATGCATATGGAAGTTTACAAAAGATAACAAAAGTATGCCTCATCGGAATGGGTTCATTGCTGCTATTTCAAAGTGGAAAGACTGAATTAGTTTTAGGGTGTGTATGTCGTAATTTGCTATATTTTTAAAGAAATTTGGTATTTACCATGAGATGACTTGTGAATGTTTCCTCTGATTCACTTCTAAACTTCAGCACCAATATTTAATAGCACTAGCAATTTGTGTCACACACTGCACTATTTTTTTTAGTGTGCATAGCCCTACAGGGGATTGGTGTTGTACAACATATGGATACCTTTCTCGGAGTGCAAAGTGACTGAAATACACGTGGTTAATATTATTTTTCATAGATAAAGAAAATAAAAAGAACTTTTTCTAACTTTTTTATTGCGTAAAACAAAAATTATTCCCGCCAGAAATTTTAAGAACCTTCCAAAGATTAGGACATATTTGATTGCATTAACATAAAATATTTGATTTTTTTAAGTTCTACATATTCATGCATCAATGAATATATAAAATATTTGTAATTTAAAACAGAATGTACTATATGTAACGTGCATTAATAAATCCGTAACGTGCAAGTAATAAACCCGTGTGGGTCATGCTGCTCTGTGTTTGAGGGATTATACAGTAAGAGTTATAGGAGGTGAGGGTTACTGAGAGAGCGAACTGGGAGTCATAATTATTGCAGTATGTTTCACCAAAAAATTGTAGAATGCATTAATTAAAAGTGGGACTTTCGGAGAGCAGGGTAGCCAGAGTGAGCATGTCCGATCATTAAATATATCAAATGTGTGCTCTCTGATAGATAGGACAGTCTGTTAATAAATGGTGAACTGACAGCATAAAAACGGCAGTCCTCGTAGTCTGCGTGAGAGTAGTGTCGACTATGTGTAGGTTGTTTTTCCATACCAGGCAGTGATGGAAGGTGACCAGGAAAACAATTACAATGTTTGATGGCAAATTGATTGTTAGTTACTGATTTAGATCAACCCTGTTGCCATTTGTCTCGAAATGGCTGAGAAGGTACTGAGAAATAACCCAAAGAAAGGAGCCTTCTTGTGGAAGACTGGCACGGCGTAAACAACTAAACAGGCAGTTGAGCCTGTGAGCTGATCAACCGGAACATCACAGATTTCGTGTCTGATGCAAATTGAACACAACCATGTGTGGGAGTAAGAATTTTGGATCACTGGTAAACGCTCTGTGGCAGTCGGAAACAACGACGAGTGAGGTGACGGTGACAAGACTGCTAGATATAACTTTTTATTTAATTCAGAAAGACGTTATTTTTTAAATGTTGGTGAGAGTTATATAGATAAAAGGCTACAAGTGCGTACACTTAAGAATATTAATAAAGCTGTCCTAAGTCGAAATCATTTTACTTTCTACTCTCAAAAGGTAAAAGGTAATTTAAAGCAATTACCTTTTACTGTTCTACAGCTTGTAGTAGATCATTTTAATCCTAGTCATTACCATATTACGTTGAAATATAAATATTCGTAAGAGAGTAACATGTTTGTTAATGGTTAAAGACTGACCGAAACGTCGTCGTAAGCTTCTCTCTTCTATATGAAGGTTATTTGTGTATTGTTCCAGTCGCGGTATTGTGCCATTTTGTTCTTTAATCTTAAGCCTTAAAGGAAAGCTTGCATCTAGAGACCTTTATTGTATCTTATATGTTAATTAGGTAATTAGTGTTATATTATCGTCAACTAGAATGTGTCACCTAAGTGAGTAGTCACCTTCTATAGCATGAGGGTCATGATAGTTACAGTTAGTGTTTTGATGGCTGCTGCGGCAGTAGTGATGGAAATATGGCAAGTGCTTCCTATCATGAGTAGCAGTGTAGTAGTACATGTATTAGTAATCTTAATTCGGGAGTATCTGTACGCAGTTAACTACAATTAGGTTTCTTTCCTGAGCGTTTATTGGTGTGTGTGTGTGTGTGTGTGTGTGTGTGTGTGTGTGTGTATACGTGTTGACGCGCATATGCAAATGCTCCTATTGTTATTGTGTGTGTGTGTGTTTACGTGTTGAGTGCATATGCAAATGCTCCTATTGTTGTTCTTCCTCTCTTTCCTATTGCTCTATTTCTCGTTCCTGTTCCTCTTCTTCTCTTTCCTGTTGCTTTTCATCTTCTCCCTCCTATTGCTCTTCTCCTTCCTGTTGCTCTTCTTCGTTTCCTTCTTCCTCTTCTTCTCCCTCTTCCTCTTCTGCTTCCTCTTTCTCTACTACATGCTCTTCTTGAGGGTTTTCTTGCTGTTCTTCATTGTGTCCACGTACTATTACATCAGCTGGTATTTCAACATTTGTTTCGCTGGCTGGTTCTTTCTCTGTCTCTCGGTCTGAAAGCACAAACACAAAAATATTACCTATGTAAACCTTTCTCTTTGAACATTTATATAAAATAGATTTTTGTAGTGTTTATCCTTAGTCGTATGTGAAAATGTTTTACTTTGAGAATTTTAGTGTTAGTGACAAAAAAAAAAAAAAAAAAATCCGGGGGCCCATGATATGTATACAGAGATGTATATTTTTTCACTTTAAGGGTTCACTTTAAGCCCTAATGTAGTCGATAGGCTTTGAACCCTATTAACCATCCAACTAAGCCGGGCTATCCATTTATTGGTTTAGCCATCTCTCTGGCGGTCCTTATTGCCTTTCCACTTTCTGTTACTTATCAGTGCAACACCTGCTGAAGACACGCAATATATATATATAGCTAAAACTTGCGATTTTAGCTTAAGTAGCAACGCTTTTCTTGCCGAATAAACCAGGCGAAAATTTGTGCATGCAATGTTTTTTTGTGAAATTACTGCATACACAGATTTTCGCTTGCCCTGTTCGGCAAGAAGTGCGTTGCTGTTTAAGCCAAAATCGCAAGTTTTACTTAGTCGGCACGACATATATATATATATATATATATATATATATATATATATATATATATATATATATATATATATATAATATTTCGTGCCGAATATGTAAAACTGGTCAATTAGCAAGAACTCATTTAAAATTAAGTCCTTTCTGAAATTTTCTCTTATACGTTTAAAGATATATTTTTTTCATTAATGTTGATGTAAAAAATTATAATTTTGCACCAAAAGAATCTTAGAAAACTTACCTAACCTTATCATAACAAGAACAATTTATTTTAGCCTAACTCAACTAAATATATTTTAGATTTGTTTACAATAATTTAATACTAAACAAACACTGTGAAATATATGTTTTTCGTTAGGTTCAGAATGATTTTGGCGAAATTATTGCATACACAAATTTTCGCTTGTCCTATATGGCAAGATGAGCGTTGCTATTTAAGCCAAGATCGCAAGTTCTGCCTATTCGGGGAAGTCT